TCAGGTAGACAAGTGAATTGAACCCTGAGAGTTACATACACACACAAACAATTAGTAACACATACAAATATCAATACACAAAGCAACCAAAACGGTACAGTGGTTGAGTTAAAGTACCAATACTAACATATAAGTATCAGAAGAAAGAACAGCCTTTTATAGGATTTCTGTTCTCCTCCTTCAGCGCTGTGCCAAGTAACACATCCATGCCCTAACTTACTAAACTGGCAACCAGAACTGAAGGGGGGGTAAACTCTAGTCGATTTTATTACTGAGGTGTAACCTATGTACAAGTTGAGTATATATAGTTACAACGAGGGCGGGCCCACAAATGGCAGAGCCGAGCTAATGGGGTTAAACATTAGCCGATTGAATATTACCGACAAGTTGGGTTACGGGGTTAATGGAATGGTAGGTGATAACCCAGAAACGGAAAGGAGGGATAGGCCCGAAGGTGGACTTGCAGGGCAAGCAAGTGTATTGCCCAGTGGAGGCAGGAGTGCGCTAGCGGACGTCAGAGCTGTCCGGAAGCCTTCGGGGCTCCGTACTTAGGGAGGCGTAGGTAATAAATTGAAAAGAGGGGGTGGTGACCATCGAGGGATACCGAGGTGATTGCGGAATATGGGAGCTCCAAGGTTAGTGAAGAAGGAGCGGAGTGTCATATCCATACAATCCCGACCTCCACTCTGGGCTCCCGGAACTCCAAACCTGACTTCCAGGTCCTACTTCCCTTCTGCCACCTCCTCCTTGCCGACTTCCAAGAGGTTATCCCACCTCTGGCTCCAACACCACCTTCGGTCCGACTCCAGAACATTCCGGGTCCGACCTCATCCCTGACACCTTCCAGATGAACATGCAACACCTATGCTCCCGACCTCCGCTCCGGAATCCCGGTTGCATCTCCATCTCCGGAACCTCCGGTCTTAGCTCCAACCTCAGACTTTGACCCCACCTCCGCTTATACCCATTGTATTGGTTAGCTCATTCCATTTAATTATGTTTGCCAATATTCTGGAGTTTAACTTCCAAGTTTGGACTTTCCAGACTTATGTCGGACCTTGCAACTATTGCATTGCTCCATTCAATTCTGCTATTCTCCCTCATTCCTATTTGGGCTGCTGCTTCCTTTCTATTCAGTCAGCTGGCCATTCCCCACTCCCATCCTCCATCCTTCCTCCTTGGGCCTTGGCCCTTCACTCCTCCTTGGGAAACACCATTGAGTCAAACACTTGACCCTTGGTGTTGTTCCTCCTTCCAGCTCCCTTTGTCTGCTTTCGGAGTACCCTTGCTCCTTTTGATTCCGGACCCCTCCTTATATACAATGTACATAGTAACTTGTAACCTCAGTCCGAAATCAACTTGAATTCCCCCAAGAGACTTTCCCTCTGCTAGATCCGAAATTAGGGACCCCCAGGACAACCAGCAATGGCACAGTGCTCTGCCTGAGTCACTGAGGCCGAGGTCCTTCCACACTAAGTCTCCGATTCCACTCCGAGTCATCCGAATCCGCCTGTTCTAACATGGAGGTAGTCCGGAGGGATCGGAGGGAGTGGAAGTCGATGGCCAGGGATGGATATGACACATATAGCGCATCATACAGACGATAATGCGGTAGTGCCGCTGATCTTTGTCTGTTGGATCTGCCATGGCTTCTTTGATACAGCAGACATACCGATTTTCAGGAGGGAAGTTTGCTTCCTGGCACTGAAAATGGACAGCCCCTGGGCAGCGAAAAAATACACATTAGTATAACTAACCCGAGTATTAGGTCATGCCAGATATAACATACCCTCCCAGTCAGTTCCAAAGGGGAATTCTTTTCGTTTCTGTACCTTTATAAAAATCCGCAAGTGCTCATAGTTTCCCAAAGAAGGGTGGAGATCCATTAAAGTAGGGCGGGGAAGGTCTGGGAAGAATGACTTGAGTGCATATTGGACAGATGGGTAACGGGAAAATCGCCTGGGCATTGCATCTGCAAGACCTGCACCCATCCCCTTCACCAGGCTGGTGATTAGATCCCACAATTGTGCAGGAACAGTGTGAGCAAGGGGGATCGGGTGCGTGTGAGAGCCCTGAAATGTGATTGCAACATAGGGACAATCATGAAGATTGTATGGTGTGTAAATTCGCATTATACAGGTACATGTGATTCGCTTGAGCTTTCCACGACGATTATTTGGTAGACGATGGTCAACAGCTGAGTTGAATCAGATTATGTAAATACTGTAGACTTGTTAGACTCACTGCAATGGGTCTGGGTCAACGAGGAATTCTCAATGGTCAAGCACATAGCATCAGGTCCCCAGCCCTGGCTATTGCTCATACACTCGATTTCTTTGACAGTCTCTTCATCATCAAACCATAGGGCCTCAAAGTATTCAGCATCGACACCGACAATTACTTCTTCGAAATGACTTCGGTGCAGAGCAGAGAAGTGTTCGCACCTAGGGGATAATGAGACATCGCATCAAGCATGAATCCTCTAAAAGATGCTCTACCTCACACGAAGGGACCCTCGGTGCAGAGGATCTTCATAATCCATCTCCAGAACCAATCATCCACTGCAACGTGAGTTACAGTGATCCCGTCCCTGCCAACTTTCAAGATTGTTGCGTAGTTTCTCATTGAGCACATCCCATTCAGTGTCAGTCATAATGGTTTCAAGATCCTGAGGTGAAGGACAGCCCATCTTTTGGAGTGCAGTATATTTCGCAAGAGTATCTTGCTGTAAATGTTTTGCTGCTGAGGGATTTCCATAACATAGATGATGTTCATCACAGACCCAGGCGCTGACATCATCACAGCATGCTAAGCTATGAGGGATGGACTGTAGTTCCAAGTTACTGAATTCGCAAACTTTCATTCCTTGGCCTAGGTAAAGAAGTGTCATATCCATACAATCCCGACCTCCGCTCCGGGCTCCCGGAACCCCGAAACGAACTCCGGATCCCTACTTCCCTTCCATCACTTTCTCCTTGCCGACTCCCAAGAGGTTATCCCACCTCCGGCTCGGACACCACCTTCGGTCCGACTCCGGAACATTCCGGGTCCGACCCCAACCTCGACACCTTCCAGACGAGTACGCAAAACCTATGCTCCCGACTCCGGACCTCCACTCTGGAATCCCGTTCACGTCTCCGTCTCCGGAACCTCCGGTCTTAGCTCCGACCTCGGACTTTGACCCCACCTCCGCTTATACCCATTGTATTGGTTAGCTCATTCCATTTAATTATGTTTGCCAATATTCCGGAGTTTAACCTCCGAGTTCAGACTTTCCGGACTTACCCCGGACCTTGCAACTATTGCATTGTCCATTTCAATTCTGCTATTCTCCCTCATTCCTATTTGGGCTGCTGCTTCCTTCTATTCAGTTAGCTAGCCATTCCCAGCTCCCATCCTCCTTCCTTCCTCCTTGGGCCTTGGCCCTTCATTCCTCCTTTGGGAAACACCATTGAGTCAAACACTTGACCCTCGGTGTTGTTCCTCTTTCCATCTCCCTTTGTCTCCTTTCGTCCTACCCTTGTTCCTTTTGATTCCGGACCCCTCCTTATATACAATGTACCTAGTAACTTGTAACCTCAGTCCGAAATCAACATGAATTCCCCCAAGAGACTTTCCCTCTGCTAGATCCGAAATTAGGGACCCCTAGGACAACCAGCAATGGCACAGCGCTCCGCCTGAGTCGCTGAGGCCGAGGTCCTTCCATGCTAAGTCTCCGATTCCATTCCGGAGTTGTCCGAATCCGACAGTTCTAACAAGAAGGATCAGTGACGTGACATGTAATTTATGGGCATTAGGGCACCCACAAGTTAGATGTTGTTCCCTGCATCGAGGGTACACACCACTCTGACCTTTCAATGCATAGCATTGAACATTTTCATGCATGCCACAAGGGGACCCGAAGCCATATAGGAAGTTGTGCTGTGGTAAAACCAGGCTGGTGGGATCAACGCGAAAAATATGGAGGATACGTTTGTTTGGTGAGTCTGTGGTTCTTGGATACTCAACAATCGCTTCAAGAGGCCAATCAATAAGATAGTTGGCATGGAGTTTCTGCGTGACTCTAGTTTCTGTATGGATAGCTGATAATTGATGACGGAGGGAAGGGGGGGACATGGCAGAGGTGGCAATGGTGATGTTGGGACATTGACTGGCCTAGGCATGGACGCTCTCTCCTCTGTATCAAGGATTTGAAAGAATTTTTCAGAGAGTTCAGTTGGGATTAAGAGGTCTCCATCATCGGCTACTTTAACATGAGGGAATTTCTCTAGGCATTCCCAAATGGGACACGCAGAAACGAAGCTTTCCATACTATGTCATTCAGCATCATGGGGTCCTGAACTGGAAATCAAAAACTTACGTTTCCTCAGTCACTTTAGTGTTGGTACGAATCTGTGGCTCCTCTGTCCAGATACTGGAAGACTCAGCGCAACATTATATAGCAATTTGAGATGCAATCCATTGATTCATCGAAGCGCTGTGCTTCCTATGATGATAGTACAGCGATGGGATAGACCAAATTTCATGGTTTCACTTCGGCAGCTCCTGCAGCATGCAGGGGAACGGCGAGGTGGCTTGGTGGCTATACTGAAGCCAGCTGGTTTTGAAATCACGTGTAAGCCGCTATCAGACTGAACAACTGAGGCCCCATGTGGAGGATAATGTGGAGGATGTGACTAAGCGCTTGCGTAAATACCGCGCATAGGAAGCTCCGGATTGCCGATGCATAGTATAAATATGGGTGCTTTAGCACCGTATGTTCTTTAGTTACAGTTTCTTTTCTTCTTTCTATATTACATCTGGGTTGCGAGTGACCCGCTGAAGCGGGTTGCCATATATGGAACTCCGGATTTACAACAGTCTCGCACGATGTCTTCGTGAACAATGTAATGTACACGTTAAATGGTGTAAGGGTCCCTCTCAAGGGCATACCGATGTACTCGATAATCTGTAAAAGCGTAAGCAACATCCATCGTTATCTGATCACTTTCTTGTCTCCATTGCGCATGTTTACCTCGAATGTTCGTTGGATGGGAAAGACTGGAATCGTTGACTCTCCCAGCTCTTCTATTTCCGAACTTCGATATCACTCTAATTTCACTAGAGCGCAACTCGGTGAGTATTTCATTTCTTGCACCGCACCCGTCGTGTCTGAGTCTTCCCAAGGATCAGCCCATATTCCAACTATCTGCCCTTGAACTCCGTTCACCACATCGATGTCGATGTCTAAGTTCGTTGTTATAATGACTTTGCCTCTGATTGCTATTTCCACGACACTTGGGAACCCTCCCTGCCACCCCAATCTGCCTGTATGACACTCTTTGAACACGTGGTGGGCTATTGCCCATCGTTCGGACAGTCTCAATTCCCCCGTTGTATCCTCGGCATGAAATCGATATAACACTGTCCCTGTTCTGCGACAATGTAACCGTAATGCAAGTTCGTTGTGTTCGAACTGCATGACACGCTGTCACCAATACCGCTTCACACCAGGGAGGTTCTTCTGCATGGGTTTATTCCTAACACGATGACATCTTGTACCATAACTTACATGTCATAGCGTCCCCCTCCCCTCGTGTACTATACTTAATTTCGTTGTACATAACTTCCGATGCTGATTCCTCTGATGTACCATATCTTCACTGTACATATCATTCAATGCACTTTCCGCGTTATCCTTCATTCTTCCGTGAATGCTGTGCAGGTCGTTGCGATGCGAAGCACGCCCTCTAGTTCGGAGAGCGCGCGGTCAATTGAGAATCATCTCAGGTTTGTTGATTTTCCCAAAGTCCAGAGGACGATCGATAACTTGGGCCATCTTACCACGATGCAAAGTCCCGCTGTCTCTAGTTCTCGGGCACAACCCAACTCCGACGCAGGCACCCAGAGAACTTACAAGCTCGCCACAGATTCCGCCAGGCACAGCAAATGCCCACCGTCGTTCCTGGGTTCCCACGTGTACACCCAATTTGCATTTCCCCAATCGCCACAGCTTAGCTGTGCCGCAGCTATAAATACTGCCACTGCGAGTCATCTACTGTTCATCTCGCATCCGGATTTATTGGAAGCATGGGATCTCGCAATGTCGCTGAAATCAACGCCACCGAGTTCGACATTGAGAACGTGACTGTTTACAAGGACAGAGCGGCGGTCAGAAGACGTTTTCCCGTTGACTTTGAGGTGGGCATACTAATCATTCCATATCGATACCTGCTTGCCTGAAGCACGATCTCCATCCCAGGCAGGTCAGAATGAAATCGTGATCAGCCCCTTGTCCTCTTTCCTTGAGCAAGATTCCCTTCGAGTCGAGACTGAAACTC